CCTGTATCGTTCTACTGCAATGCCACCATAGCCAGATGGGAACTTGACTTATTTAACAAATTACTGATATGCGGCTTACAGGTGCATTTTGTGCCCATTGCAACTCCAAGTAAGATATTTACATGATTACACACATTCAAATCAGGGGTGTACCATCAATTGTAATACGACAGCATTAAACAACGAAAGCCGCAAAGTTTCACTCCCAGCAAGCATGAATTCTTATTAAAAATCATGGCCAATTTGTTTTCAGAATATCTGTCGAGTACCAAACTAAAATCCCGGGCTAAATTGGCTTGAAATCTATAGAAAGTTGATCACGTTTCAAAAGTCGGCATATAGGATCAACCGAGCATTGAAACTGCATTTAGCAAACTATTAATCTAAAGTTTAAATAACAAAAAAGGCCCGAAATACGCCCCTTGTTGAACTCAGAATGGTCCAGAAAATTTAACACGGAATTCACTTTCCAATTTCATCCTCCAATGCCTTTAAAATCCGACTTTTTCAATAATTAGCAGTTAATGTACTTTTAATATTCGTTTATGATAAGGAGTTCTTGTTGTTATCTTTACAAGGCTAAAGTATAGGGGAAGTTGGGGGAGGAGTATGGGGAGTTTTGGGGGAGGAGGGGTCGTGGCAACCTCTTCCCGCTCCGTAAGGACGGGTAGGAGAGAACCCTGGGAACGAGGTTGGGGTTGTGGTAGTGATGTCGCCATGTTTATATTCATTTACCTCGGGTATGACAATTTTCTCTCAGCCGAGAAAGTCGCCTCAAATTTGCACCGAAAGCTTTGATTATGATCGAATTTTTTGCTACTTGCCTGCGAAAAATCGCTCTAAAAATCGCCATGAGATCACAGCCTCTCTTTACACGGGAGATTTTGGAGCCGTAGCCAAATCGCAGGTTTTGTTTTGCGACAAATCGCCGGGCTGAACGATTTTACGCTTGACGATTTGTCCTCAACCTTAAAGGCTTGCGTTAAAAGTAATTTAACTATGTTTTCTACCCTTTTTCTATAACTTAGGTTTCACATTTTTTAAAACTTTGCACACTCTCTTGGTCACAAAATGACATGACATCTAGCGATAGTTTCTCGCCAAAAATCTCTGGCAACATTGCAAAAAATAAATCTACCTGCAGATGTTGACTACTTGCTGAGATTGACTGGAATAAATTTGTACACGTAGAAGTTTTTCTTCGTGGGCTATGACAAATCACTTAATAATGACTCAGGTCCGTTGCGAAACTAGTTAAATTTGTTTTTCTCACATCTCCAGGTTTCGTTCGACTCCTCATCGAGACAAAAAATTAATTCTTTTCTTCAAACCAGGGCTACCCAGACTTTTTTTAAAATAATGTAAAAAACAGAAAATAGTTTTTTTTTTAATTATTATTTTCTATTCCTGTCCGTTGGATGGGTTTATATTTCTGCAATCATGACCTTTCAAATAAATTCCGTCAGTTAAAATCCTACTTAGCTCTTAAGTGATAAAAAGGCATGAACGTTACAAACAATCACTAAATTACAATATTTAGTTATAAATTAATTCATATGTAATAATTAGGTATATTAACCATGTTAAAGAGTCTTGTGTTCATAGAAACTGACTTAGGGATGGACCATTAGAAAAGTTATGGGGGGGGGCGGGCGAAGTACAAAAAAAAAATTCATGCAAGGGAAATTAAGTGAAAAAAATTCATGCATGCAGAGTAGACCAGGAAAAAAAATTCCTGCATTGGCCTTCCACACATTTTGCACAAATCTTAAGAAGGCAGGCAGGAAAGCATACTGTGTGCAAAACATCGGCCCTTTGAATAAACTTCCTGCTGAATTTTGTTCTTGTAAATAATCATACCTGATACAAAAAAATATATCTAAGGCTTGTAAGCTTATCATAAATTTTAATAGCTGGCAATTTCAGATATGATTATTAAATAACTTTCAATAAATTTAATTATACTTTTCTATGTATTACAAAAACTCGACATCTTATAAGGTTATCATTTCCTTATTTTGTGAACTACATATCTAATATCTGGAACAAAACATTTCTTTTAGATACCATAGATAACAATAATCAGAGTATTCCCCACAAATCGAAGGAAACACCCAGAAATATCCAGAATATATATTATTTCTTGGTACTTCTAACAAGCAACAGATAAATAAAAATAAAAAT